TCGTTGGGCAAGCCAGTAAAAGTAAAGGAATTAATCAAAGCCTTAGAATTTTTTGGGCTGAAATGTTTCTCAAAGGGATAACTCCAGGGAATCGATTGGATGCACACATGATAGTCAACAAATACTGATTCTCTGATCGAGTTTTTGGTAAAGGCCAAAAGCAATCAACAATCACACGACTGAAGGGTTCTTCGAAAGCTAGGATAGGTTTCAGAGGAGCAACAGGAATTTTTTGGTTTGGTTTTCCGACCAACTAACAGGTATGACAAGTTTTTACAAAACTGAGAAACACCTTGCCTAATTTTGGGCCAAAATAAATATCACATAATTTTGTCACATCTCTTGTTCACACCTAAATGACCTCCCATGGAGAGTTCATGAGCAACTTTAAATATTTCAGAAAGATATGCTATGGGAACAACGATTTGGAAAACAATAGCCTAGTTACCTGAAGTTGGCACATCTGGCGGTCTTCATTTCCTCATAAGCACACCATTTTTGAAAAAGTAACCATTTGGAACTTTCTCCAGTTCATCTTTTGGGAGTGCATATTTAAATAGTGAAGAGATCTGTGGATCTTTTTCTTGCTCCGCGACCAGTTTACTTTTAACAAACAGAACCTCACCAGATGAACTAGATCCCTCACGTCCATCATTGTCACTTACCGAGGAATCGTCAGTAACACAATTATCTACAAGATCCCCGTCAGATCTAAATTATATCTATAATATCGTCCTCTGAATATGTGTTTATCATTTGTTCTTGGCTTAATTTCTTAGAGCTCGAGTAACAACACACAAGGGAAACACATCAGGATTCTCCTCAACAACACCATCCATAGATGAAACAGTAATCAGCTCACTAACCATTTTGGGTTTGGTAACAACTTTCCCCCAGCCAAATCGTTTTCCAACAATAAATACACCCTTCATTGGCAGAGTAGGTCTTACTCCAACCATAACTATTCCGGAAACTAAGTCTGATGCCAAGTAAATGTTATGAAAAGGGACATTAACAAAGCCACCCTCAGTACCTTGAGCAATAACAGACTCACCAGTGGCAAAACTCGAATCTAAAGGCAATATACCTTCTAACAACAATGATTAAGTCGCCCCAGTATCACGTAGAATACGTATGGGTATGGGATTGGCAGTGTCATTTGTCAACGACATGGAACCAATAGACACAAAAGGTCTAAATTCCTCCCTGATTACATCAGCCTTTATATTAGTGGCCGAATCAACAACATCGGGTGATCTGGTAAAACTATGTCCATATGTGGACACTAACCCACTGGGTGTTGCCTCCTTTTCATTTTTTTTCAAAACCAACGATCGGATATAACATGACCAAATATTTTACAAAAATGGCAGACAGGCCTTGGTGGTTTTGATAAATTTTAATCCTGACTGTCATAAGATTTCGAACTAGAGGAGCTGGATTTTTTAGAAGGATCCTTAACTTTAGTGGATTGAACAGTTATTGGTTTTTATTGAGATGGTAGGAATTTCTTTTTATGATAAGTGGTTTCATGTGTTAAAGAGTAATCATTGGAAAGAGCAGCTGCTTCCTGTAGTGTTTCAACTTTCTTTTCATCCAGGTAAGTTTTGAGGTCGTCACTTGCACAACGTTTAAATTTCTCAATTACACTTATTGTCTTAGTTTGTCGAAACTGTTGTCAATATGCATAGAATTGCATTGATCAAAATAAACCTTTTTTTCGTGGGCAAATTCCATATAAGTTTGATTATCTTGCTTGCTATAACCTCGAAACTTTTGGCGATAAGCCTTTGGTACTAACTCGTATGCTTTGAGTATAAATGCTTTAACCTTATCATAATTCGTACAATTTTCTAGAGAGAGAGCGGTAAAAGCTTCTTGTGGTTTACCAGTTAAACCACTTGTAATAATAATGACCATTTTTCGGTGGGCCATTCCATGGTTTTGTCTAACCTTCTCAAAATGCTGGAAATATTTATCAACTTCATTTTTATTAAATGGTGATACTTTAACATGTCGATTAAATTCAAAGTTGTCATTTTGCCTTGGTTGATCGGAGTTGAGTCTAATTTCCATTTCGTTCAGTCTAATTTCCATTTCGTTCAGTCTAATTTGTTTTTTTTATTCAATGAGAGCTTTTTCGGCTTCGAAACGTCTATTTTCTCTTTCAGCTTCGATACGAGCTTGTTCTTTCTCGGCTTCGATACAAGCTTGTTCTTTCTCGGCTTCGATACAAGCTTGTTCCTTCTCGGCTTCGATACGAACTTGTTCAAGCTCGATTTGTTTGAGTTTTAGCTGGATCTCTAAATTATCTTTATCACTCAACCCCGATTGGCTAGTGGGGACACTAGAGTATTCCCCTAATGCTTCCTCAGACACCAAATCATCATGAACTACCATTTCAATAATACTCTTTTTAGTTCATTTTTCTCATTGATATTTTAATTTCTAGTTCTAAAATTTTCGCAATTTCGAACAATTCATTTTGTTATATCTTTCTAGTTGTTCTAGGGAGGGTGATTCAAGAAAATATTGATAATCAAATATGATCAAATATTGTTTGCACTGATAAATATAAATTGAATTATGATTTGAATTTGAATTTAAATCGAATTTTGTCTCTGATTCATATCTCGGACAGGAGCCCCCAATTTATTATGTTACGTATTACAATTTCAAATAGCCTAAAACTGAGTCAAATCTTAATTTTGATTTAGTAGTTAAATAAATTTCGATATATATATATATATCTAATTTATGATATTTCCAACAAGATTCATACACACAGTTTCCTTTTTTAAGTATAAATATGTTTTAATATACAAACAATAATACAATTTACAATAATAGTTATTACAAACAATGATTTATATACAAAAGTTTTCAAACTTACAAGCAATATATAGTCTT